CTTCCTGACCGAGAATAAAAAAAAACCCTTAATACGGATTTAGAATTATCAAGGAACCTCAAACCCCGACAGGCCCACCCCGGTTTTGGTCGGCGTCCATATAAGCAGAGTCGCAACGAGTAGAAAGCAGTTGAGTTCGCAGTTGGCAGTTGGAAGATGAGTTGGAGCTGAGTCGCAGTTTGCAGAGAGAGACCTCCTCGCAGAAAGCTGACTAAGATTCCACGCAATCACGACCTCAACTTCTAACCAAGAACAATTTATTTTTGAAGAAGGACTTAGACTCACACCACCAAAACACGTTTTACGAATATCGCCTGAAGATACACCAAGAACCAGTTTCTTAAAGAACAAACAACTTAAGAATCGCCTAACACACACACACAAAGTGTCACGAATCCATATAGCGGTTTGGGAGAAAGACGCAGTCCTGTACTCAGCAACCAGATATAAAATATTGTTATCCTTTTTTTAAACACATTTGAACTTTTCGAGTTATTACTTTATTTTCTTTTACATATACTTGTGCGGTGTTACCCTTGTCCGGACTCAGCTTGCATTACCGCCCGGCGACTGATTGATTTCGTCTACCTAAGATCAAATCACAACGTGGGTAGGTTAGACTAGAAATCATAGAACGACAGGGCTGATACCGAATCTAACCAGATTCCCATCCGAATCGGCAAAAGGTTAGAACGTCACATTTGGTGCCGCGACCAATACCAAGTCACATTGGTCGTCACAGGTCAGGATAGGACGGCGACGGCGCGGAGACAGACGGGCTGACGTCACAATTGGCGCCGTGACTAGGACAGCACGGCGGGCGCGACCAGGCAGACGTCACGATTGGCGCAGCGACACTGGGGGACGTCACAGTACTCTCCATGGGCCTACTAATGTTTTTTCAATAATACCACCCAAGATCATTATGCCTCCACGGCCTTGTTGGCGTCTCAAACGCTGATGGCGATTCTGTCCGTTCATTACCCAGCCTTTGCACCATCTATCTGGCCCATCAAGTGTTGCTCGAGTTTCATTTGTGAACAAAACTTTAAAGAAGTCAATTTTCATATTGTCCTCGGCCCATTTCAGTTGATTTTGAATGTGATTTCTCATCAAAGGAGGCTTCGATACAAGTTTGACTTTTCTTGCTATTTCCCTCAGATACCGACACCGAGTACTTTTAGACAGTAGGATCCCCATGCGACTGAAAAGCTCTTGACTGGTAAGTCCAGGGTTCTTGGTGGCCTCTCGTTTAAGTCATGACATAAGACGACATGAAATAACCCTCGGCTTAACTTTATCTGCCCTTTTGCGTACTTGTGTAGGGTCGGCGGTGAACTTTTTCGCTGTTTGATGACACCTCCCTATCATTTTAAAAATTTCTAGGGTAGATTTACCTTTTGAGAGTTCAGAGGTGATAGTTTTCTTTTCAGCATCATTTAAACTGCTTTTTATGGCCCAACTTTTCACTAAATTCTTACACTTTTCTAATAATTTGGCACAGTCAAATCACCGTGCTGATAACAAATATGGCGCCAGTTTGTTTACATAGCGCAGATCAGTACAAAAATTTCAGTGATTGCGCAAGTTAGTCTGCCAACATTGTGTAAAAATTTTGTGTGAATTGATTGGATAGTTTTTGAAATATTAGAAAAAAGTTATCTCGATAATAATTTAGCACGCAGTGTGTATATATATATATATATATATATATATATATATATATATATATATATATATGAACACATGCACACACATTTATTTATGTTTATGTTTTCATTATGATTTTGATTATATTTATATATGTATAATCGGTCGAGTTTCGAAGCAATCGGACGTCTAGTCTGTTATACAGCGAAAAGAGTCTGTCTGGGGATGACTGTATATATGCTCTCGGGGACCCGATCGAACTCTCCAGAGAAAATGATTAATTCTAAAAGAAACAGTGGCTGCTACTGCTATTAATGCATGGCTCTTCAACTACGAATTGAGCTTTCTTGGCTACTGTCGTTTGATTACATTTCGTATAGAAAACGTTACAATTTCCCTTTCTCGTGCGCCAATAGCTTAGTGGGTACGATCTCTGACTGAGGACAAATTGGTCGCGTTTTGATCCCGGCTTGAAGCAATCAGACCTCTAGTCACACTGTAGTTTGTCTTTGGATCACTTATATATATATATATATATATATATATATATATATATATATATATATATATATATATATGTGTGTGTGCGTGTGTGTCCTCTCTCTGTAATCAGATATAGATTAACCTCTCTCTCTCTCTTTAAGTCTTGTTTCTGTCTCTCAACATATCTCTTCTAGTTTCTTTCGGTATTTGGTTCTTACTTCACCCTCAACATTCTTCTCTCTTTCACTATTAATCTCTTTCCATTATCCCATCTCTGCCCTTAGAAATATACTCACTCATATATATATATACATATATATATATATATATATATATATATATATGTGTGTATATATATATATATATA